TGCTATGAACATAGATAGGCATTTCTTTAGCTTTCTGTATAATAAGCATTTTTTTATGAAAATGCTAACATTACGAGAGGAAATAGGTTCTTTAGCAATGTCTGGGAAAAGAATTTTAGGGACACTTACATATGAGGAGTTTTAAGTTATAGTGGCAAGATTAATTACAGTGAAAAATTACAAGTGGCAGTATCCTCTCAGAGAGTCATTGTGGGCAGGCTGAAACCAGCTGCTTCGGGAAAACAGCTGGTTTCAGGAAAGGAAGTTACAGAGGCAAAAGGATTAGTCCTCTGCCGCTGCCCACTGCTCCTTTGGTTGCAAGTCTCATGGGTACCCTTAGAATTTAGAGGAAATGAAGCAAATGTGCACGCCAGAGAGAAGGAAGGGTAGAAGGTGCCCCCAGGAGGATGCATACTGTGTTCTCTATCTTCCATATATTTCCTTGGGTTTGTGAAACAGCAAGCTTTCATTCAGACTACCCAATTTCTTTCCTGGCTGTTCCCAGGCTTGTGCCTGTGCCTGACCCCATTCAATCCCTTCCCTGGATTCTCCAGGGCTTGTGCCCTTCCCCAATTTGATCCATTCCCAGGCTAGTGCTCCCTCCTTTTATGGTCACCATTTTGGTTTCTATTGCCATTTATCTGGCAGAGTAATGCCAGTTACTCAATATGATGGCTATGTATAAAGCTGTCTTTTCTGCCTAGCCCACCAGCCACCATGTTTTTCTTCCTTTGACTGAAAGATGCTGGTTACTTGGCTGTAGGGGTGTGAAATTCATTTTCACCGGGGGCCACATCAGTTTTGTGATTGTCTTCAAAGGGCCGAATGTAATTTTAGGACTGTATAAACATAACTACTCTTTAACAGTTAAGTGAAACAGTATCAAAATAAAAAGAGAACCAACTGTATGGGAAAACATATTTGCCAATGATACCTCAGACAAGGGTTTAATCTCCAAAATATATAAAGAACTTACATGACTCCACTCTAAGAAGACAAGCAACCCAATTAAAAAATGGGCAAAGGACTTGAACAGACACTTCTCCAAGGTGGCCATACAGAAGATCCAAAGACACATGAAATGATGTTCAATATCGCTAGCTATCAGAGAAATGCAAATTAAAACCACAATGAGATACCACTTCACACCAGTCAGAATGGCCATCATAAACAAAGCAACAAACAACAAGTGTTGGAGAGGTTGTAGAGAAAAGGGGACCCTAGTGCACTGTTGGTGGAACTGCAAACTGGTACAACCACTATAGAAAGCAGTATGGAACTTCCTCAGAAAACTAAAAATGGATCTGCCTTTTGACCCACAATTCCACTGCTGGGACTATATCCTAAGAACCCTGAAACACCAATACAAAAGAACCTTTGCACCCTGATGTTCATAGCAGCACAATTTACAATAGCTAGGTATTGGGAGCAACCTAGATGCCCATCAGTAAATGAATGGATCAAAAAAACTATACTACATTTACACAATAGAATTCTATGCAGCAGAAAGAAAGAAGGAGCTCCTACCCTTTGTGACAGCATGGATGTAGCTGGAAAGCATTATGCTAAGCAAAATAAGCCAGGCAGTGAAAGACAAATATCATATGATCTCACCTTTAACAGGAACCCAAACAACAAAACAAAGAAACAAGCAAAATATAACCAAAGACACTGAAATAGAGGACAGACTGACAGTGACTAGAGGGGAGAGAAGAGGGAATTTCAGGGGAGAATGGGTAGCGTTTACAGGAAGAAATTTAAAGGACACATGGACAAAAACTAGGGGAGGGTGGTAATGGGAGGGAAGTGGGGAGGGGGTGGGTGGGTGGGCTGGAATGGGAGTAAAAGGGAGAAAACTGTACTTGAACAATGATTAAAATTAAAAAAAAAAATAGAAAAAAAAAACAGTTAAGTGAGAACTCAGCACTGCCACCAGGTGGAAACAAGGTGCCAGGCCAAAGATAAAACAAGGTGGAGAGCCAGATTCGACCCACGGGCCTTGTGTTTGCTACCTGTGTTCTATTGGGTAACTGAAAGATTAATTAGGTTTAATCAAACATGCCTGGTTCCCTTCTCTTACGTTAATACCTAACTAACTGCCTACTCTAACACTGATATTTCATCTGAGTATAAAATAGAGTAGCAAAATGATACATGGAAGTTTTAAAATTCATGAGAGAAGCAAGAGAACCTTTCTGAAGGTAATACAAAGGAAACATATTAGAGCATATGAAAATGCAATAAACAGTAATATCATCATTATGAGTATTGATGTTAGGGAGGAAAGGCCATATTACTTTTTGGAAAAGTTATTTCCTGGCTGATGAAAAGGATAATTCCAAAATTTCATTAATTTGAAATTTCATATCAAATCTGCTCTGTATTGGGGAGGAAAAATAATTTTTCCAGTACCCTTCTGAGTTCTTAGCTGAGATCCCTGTAATAACAGATAGATTAGCAAGAGAAAAACAAACAGAAATTTAATAACATGAACATCACATATATACACAGAAGATATTCAGGTAAAAATGAGTAACCATCTAATGTGGCTTAGAATTCAGGCTTCACTACCAGCTTAATAGAAAAAGGGAATGGTGGACATAGGCCTGTTAGGAGAGAGCAAATAACTTTTAGGAAAGATGAATGGGTCCTCAGAAGAATAGATGGGAGGCATGATAGTTTGTGACAAAGTTTGGGGATGGTGTCAACTTCTAGTCTCAATCTTCTGTGATATGAGTCTATTTTCTCTGGTTCATAAAATCTCTGGAAAGGGGATTTATGACATTTGAGTTCCTTTCTGAGGGTCAGTCTTCAGGCAGATAGGAGGTATTCAAAGAAAGCTGCTCCCTGCATTTGCCATTTATTCAAGTGTCTACAACTCAAAATAATGAATATTTCAAAGTAACATGTTTTGGAGTGGTACGTCCTAAACTCCTACAGTCATATTTTGAAGTGGCATATCTTACTGCCCTTCATAAACTTCTTTTTAAGAGAAGTAATAAAAGGATTCAGTATATAGATTATAATAAGGCACAGTTATTTATTGTAATTTTTAGGGCATTTACTAAAAGCATAATAAAAATATATACTAATAAGCTATTAGGGTAAAATGGTAAACTAAATAAACAATATTTAATTCCAAGGAAAGTGAGAAAGGGAAATTTTTAAGGGAACATCAGAAACAGAAAAGGGAATCAAGTAAGACAATTATAAGTAGATGTACATAAATATTTATATATCATTAATTGCATTAATGTAAATGAAGAGTGATACCCTAATTAAAAGACAATACTTTTAGGTTAAAGCCTCCCTCATTAGAGTCAGAATAAAAGAAAGAGTATGGAGAAAAATATATAGTAGAAACAATATTCATGATATATTAAAATATGTGTGATGCAGGGAAATCAGAGCTTAAAAAGAAATTTATCACCTTAAATGAATAAATTAGAAAAAAATGAAGACTAAATTTCAATGATCCAGGCTTCAATCTCAGAAAACGAGAAAAAATCAACATATTAAACCCCCAAATATAGATAAAACTAAAGAATAAAAATAAGACTATAAATATAATTTAAAAACAAACTTTAAAATTTTAAAAGTCAGGATGGTGTAGAAACAGGTAACTTTTCATAAAATTTATAAAACCCTAGCAAAATTGATCAAGGAAAACAAAAAGCAAGCACAACTTACCAAAATATAAATAAAATGTAGATATCGACGAGATCATTTAGGCAATAAAAATTTAATTAAACACCTTATACAATTTTTATGTCAAAAAAATTTAAAACTAATTGAAGTGCATAAATTCCATCATAAAAGTGACACATTTCATAAAAGTAATACTATACATACTTATAGTAATTGGATACATTTAGATATTTTCAACCAAGAAACTATGATAGATGGTTTAACTGGTGAATTATTCTAAAGATTTAAGGAATTACATCTATTTTAATACACTATTCCAGAGAGTAGAAAAAATACTATTTTTATAACCTTAAAAATGGGGAAATTACCATTTTTCTCATTAATATGGATCAAAATTATAAATAAAATTATCAAATCAAATCTATCTATATATATAACATATTAAGAACAAGTAGAGTTTATTCCAAAATGTGAAAATGATTTAACACTCAAAATGAATCTGTTAATGTAGTTAATGAATAGTGTAAAACATTGAAAGAATAAAAGAGTACAAGAAAACTATTTGACAAAGTCAACCCATTCATAACTGAAAGGCTCAGCAACTAGATAAAGCAGGAAACTGATAAAACAGCACATAAACTTGCAGCAAACAGTGCTCTCAATGGTAAAATATTGAATACTTTTAAGTCAGAAATGAGACAAGGATATCCACTATTAGCTGATGTTTTAAATATGAAAAAATAATTGTTGTTTTAGTAATTTTAAGTTATGAGAAAGTGAAATAATAGCTAAAAAATTATGTGAAAGAACAATGTGATAAAACATTAAGATATACTCTAAAGCCTCAGAAATTAAGAGTAATGTAGGCATTAGACTCAAATGAACTAGGGACTTCAGTATTTGAAAATGTTTTCAAACTAATGGAAAGATAATGCAGTATAAAGAAAAAATTTTAGGAAAACTTGAAAAGCATTTTAAAAACTTTTGATTTACCTCACACTATATAGTTGAAAAAATTCTAAATGGTTTTATGATTTTAATGCAAACTATTAAAAAATTAAAGTGGTAAGACAAAATATAGTTAAATTATTTTATAACCTAGATGCAACAAAGCCTTTCTAATTATGACACAAAAGAATGAAGCTATAAAGAAACACTAATAACTTTGACCATATACATGCAAAACACTTCTGCTTAGCAAAAACACCATTTAAAATGGACAAATTTAAGTTTGCACAATGCTACATCTCCCAAGTTGAAGCCTACTTAATCATAAAGGCAATTAGCATGTAAGCTACCTTTAAGAAAATGATCTTGTCTCAAGCACCAACAAGCTTTGCCACTGTACTTACATTATCTTCAGCAAAATAATCTGCTTCCAATTGTCAAAAGCTGTGAAGAGTCTAAGATTTTACCAGAGTCGCAAGCCAACAAGTTCACCTGCCAGTTTTGTAGGTTCTGGTAGATATAACACTAGTAGGTCAGAGACAAAAAACATCATCACTAACGGCACAGAAGGCAGCATGGCTTCACTTTTGTTTCAGTCCCCCCTTGTCTTCCAAATCCCATGGAAGTGATGTGGAAGCAGATCGATGTAGATGCTGGATCCCCACTGAGTTTGAGAGATATTTGGGGAATTCCAAGCTTAGTAAACTCCAGTATTTTAAAGAGGTCTGCTAGCAAAACACACAAACAAAAGAAGATACTATCTTTATTATGCTGGTCAGAAAAAAGAAAATTTGCTGTCTACCTTGGTGCTTGTATTACCTTGCTATACAAACATACCTTAAAATATAATCGGGAATAAGAGCTGATTACTAGATGTACCAGAACACCATGGGGTGCTGTCTCCCAACACTGTTAGCCTTAGTTGTTTCACTAATACACTATGGATTATCAAGCAAGTAGCATCTGTTGCCCTTCACCAGTAGTAAACATCAGAATAATTTGTCTACCTCAATTTGGTCTATGAATTGCCAAGAAAAATGCAGCCCATCCAAACACTGGATGAAACAAAGCTTTACTCACATAAAGAAGGAACAGAACAAGAGCAGCTCCAGTGGCAGGTGTTGGTCCCTAGAGCCAGTGAGTCCAACCAGGGCAACTGGCCTGTACACACCCCTCTTGTACTCTTGCAGAACCAAGGACCCCATCCTCTCCCTGCAGGGGACAATTACACCAGTGGGTTAGTCAGGTGCCTTATCACACATATCCTTAAACCAAAGGAACACACATTGGATTGAAATAGGAAAAGACATTCCCATATAAGGAGACAAGCCCAGCACAACCTGTGAGGTCTCTTTATTTCTTGATAAGGAAGTGTTCCAGGGCCAAGGACAGTCTCATGTGGCCAAGTGAGGATTAGAAGACTCAATAGGTGAGACTGCCTTTTCTAGCCTGAATAATATACATTAGGTAAGGCTGTTACAAGAATTAAATAGGAAAATGTCTGAAAAGTATTTAGGATGGTGCTAGCACCTTGTAAGTGCTCACAACATAGACACTATTTTGCTTATGGTTATAATTGTAAAAAATTATTTGTGGGCAAGAACAACAGTGTGGTGATTGCAGGGGAAGGGGTGGGTGGAGGTGGAAGAGGGTTCAGGGGGCATAAGTGGTAATGGGAAAAATACAATAAAATGAACGATTAAAAATTTAAAAAATAAAATGGCAAAAAAATAAAAATAAGGCTATATTTTAAAACACATGTTAAACTATGTTCAAATATTATTTTACTTTTCACAACTAAAGACAGGTTTCTTTCATATACTGAAATAAAGTGCTTAGCTTTTACTTTCTAACAATTTGTATTTGGATCAATTATTAAAAGACTTTCAAGTTTAACTTCTGTGTCTTTGATGGTAAAAAAAAAATATTTCCCACATCTCTAACTCCAAATAAAGAATTCGTACTCTACATATATTACAGACAGAATCATAAAATTATCTTTGTTAAGACAGAAAGTCATATTCTGAAGAAACTCTTTTTTATTGTGTACAAAATCAATAAAGTAGGAGAGAAATCCAGCTAAATTATGATCCAAATTTTTTGTAGCTGATAAAATCCTAAGGGCATGCTAAAAACAAATGGTATGCATGGGAAATTAGACCTATCAAATCTGAAACAGATCAGTTTGGAAAATATTGATTGGTTCAGAAAAGAAGTCACTTTCCCCAGAAGCTTTTCCATTTTCAGTTTGGCATGATCTAGGATTATAAAATGCTGAAAGCACCAATGTTTAATTCATCTTGAAAGTATTGGAGACCAGAGCAACACAGTAAAAATCTTTATAAAAGTAAATAAATATTTAGAGCCAAAATTTGGCATTGCTGATGGCAATTTTAAAAGTAAGCAAACTCCCTATTATTAAATCCCTGAAACACAACTTTAATTGTTAAAACACAAGCCCCCCAAAAGAGGTGCATTGTTTAATTAGATCTTTGGGTGAATGGTTGTATATTACCATTTACACAGGCACCAGCCCATCAGAGTAAACTGATTGAATGCTGTGCTAAAATGGCTAAAAGGCAATGAGGAACAGTCATTTAAAAATTAATTTAAAACAATTTCTGAACGTGCCATGGGAAGACAAAAGTCATTAAGCAGGATTATTAATATTCACGACAGCTGTTCCACAATCATGTTTCAGGTCCCCATGTTCAAATTTGCTTTCTAATATAGTTTCTTAAAATACTCTATTAGTCTGTACTTCTTCATATGCTAATGAGCTGCAAATAGCTTTAATTTTCATTTCACATCAGTTTATCATAGATAAGTGTTTGCTCAATATATGTTTGGGATTAACTATTTTTGAGTTACTTTAAAGAAAAATACCAAAAGGCCTGTGAAAAATGGAGATTCCCTTTTCCCATTTTCCATGACTCCTTTGCTCAGTATATTCCATCAGCCTCAGTCAGTGAGCCATACCTTCTACTGCGTCTCCAGATATCTATGTTTTAGGGCCTTTATGCTACCTACCATCCTTAAACATTATCCAAAGTATTGCATCTGTCTACATAAGCTGAAATGTCTGTATTAAATCTCACAGTTGAAAGCATACATCTAAGCATAGGATTGTTCAAACGGGTCTTGCCTGGATTTAGGTCTAGATTTCAGAATTTAAGATCATATGATCTTGCCCTGTCCAGTAGCTCAGTTTCTCAGAGTATTGTCCCAGAATGCCAAGGCTGTTGATTTGAACCCCAGTCAGGCTACATACAGAAAGCAACCAATGAATGCATAAATAAGTGGACCAACTATTTCCCTCTTTCTCTATCAAAATCAATAAGCAATTTTTAAAAATCATGTAAGACAACCCCTTCCCAAAGAGACATTAATTTACAGAATTTGTTTTAATGTCCTCAAAACAATGATTTCAAAGACACTTTCTTCCTTCTAGAGAACTTCATCATTTTATTTCTTTCTTCTAAATTAGTGATAACTTACATTACTAAAAGTTTTCTTCCAAAATATTTTTTGTTTGTGTTATAATAATGCCCTAAATGTTTCAATGAGTTCAGACAAAAGTCTTAAAGGATATAACCCTTTTTATGCTTTTGTGCATTACAATATTATTTTATTTTATAGCAATGTAATGTTGGTGTAAATAGACTTTGCACATACATAAAACTGTGTAGTTATTTGGTGGCCCAAGATCCTGGACTTTGTGTACATTGTAGAAAAAGATGTGCAAATAAGGTAGTATGCTGAAATCCTAAAAAAAACTCTTACATTTAATTATTATGTACTTAATAGTAATCAATTGGTTCTATAAATACAATGATACCTCTGTACTCATTGTTAATTTGTTCCAGAGCTTGTGATGAGTGCTGAAACTGACAAGTACTGAGCAAGTGATGGGTGATGAAGCATTTTCTCTTGTGGGGCAGTATCACAACTCACACAGCTTCTAGCAAGTGTGACAAGTCCCAAGCAAGTGATGAGTGCTGAAACATTTCTCTTGTCAAAATGTGACAAGTGTAGGGTTTGGTGAGTTCTGAAGTCAACAAGCACCAACATATAACTGCGTTTTATACACAGTATCTGGGTTAGGATATTGAGCCATAATATCATAATAAAGAATATCCATATATCAATAGTTTGTTCTAGGTTAGTATCCCACTCCAACTAAAAATTGTAGCTAGGATTTTCTTTTTTTTTTTTGGTTCTAATAAATATTGTTTTTATTTCTTCTTCTTTTTAATTGTTATTCAGTTACAGTTGTCCCACCTTTTTCCCCATTGCTCTTCTCTGCCACACCCACCACCCCACTCCCACAGCCAGTCCCCACCCCAATGTCCGTGCCCATGAGTGCTCTTCTCATGTTCCTTGACTTACACCCTCTCCTTTTTTCCCCATTATCCCCCTTCCCCAACCTGTCTGGTCACTATCAGTTTGCTCATTATTTCCGTGTTTCTGATTCTATTTTGCTCATTTGTTTTGTTAAGTTCTACGTATAGGTGAGATTATATGGTATTTGTCTTTCACACTGGATTATTTCACTTATAATGCTCTCCAATTCCATTCATGCTGTTGTGAGGGCTAGGAGCTCCTTCTTTCTTTCTGCTGCATAGTATTCCATTGTGTAAATGAACCACAGTTTCTTGCTCCACTCATTTACTGATGGGAACTTAGGCTGTTTCCAGTCTTATTGTAAATGAGGCTGCTATGGACATAGGTTCAAATAGGTGCATAGGTTGTTTTTAATTGGTATTTTGAGGATTCATAAGGGTATAATTCCAGCAGTGGAATCACTGGATCAAAAAGCAGTTCCACCTTTAGTTTTTTGAGGAACTTCCGTGTTGTTTTCCACAGTGGCTGTACCACTCTGCATTCCCACCAACAGTGTACTAGGGTTCCCCTTCCTCCACAACTTTGCCAGCACTTGTTGTTTGTTGATTTGTTAATGATGGTCATTCTGACAGGTGTGAAGTTATATCTCATTGAGATTTTAATTTGCATCTCTCTGATGGCCCTCAACTGATGTTGAGAATTTTTTCAGTATCTCTGGGCCCTCTGTATGCTCTCCTTGTGAAGTGTCTGTTCAGGTTTTTTGCCCATTTTTTTAATTGGATTGTTTTTCTTTTTTAATTTTTTTCTGCCATCAGTTACAGTTGTCCCCATTTTCCCTCTATTACTCTCCCCTGCCTTACCCCTGACATTCAATCCTACCCCCACCCCATTGTCTTTGTCCATGGGTTCTTTGTACATGTTTCTTGACAACCCTTCCCCTTCTTTCCCCCAGTTACCCTCTCGCCTTGCCCCTCCCCTTTGGTTGCTGTCAGTTTGTTTTTCTTCCTGGTGTGGAGTTGTGTTAGTGCTTTATATATTTTGGAGATCAAACCCCTGTCCAAGGTATCATTGTTAAATATGAATCATATGGTTTTTTCCCTTTTCATTTTATTGATGCTCTCCTTATCCATGCAATAGATTTTTAATTAGATGTAGTCCCATTTATTTATTCTTTCCTTTATATACCATGCTCTGGGATATGTATCAGTGAAAATATTGCTCTGTGGGATATCTGAAATTTTCCTACCTATGTTTTCCTCTAGGACTTTTATGATGTAATGACTTATATTTAAGTCTTTCACCCATCTGCAGTTTATTTTGGTGTACAGTGTAAGTTGGTGGTCTAGTTTCATTTTTTTCATGTAGCTGCCCAGATCTCCCAATACCATTTATTGAAGAAGCTATTTTTACTCCATTTTATGTTCCTGCCCCCTTTGTCAAATATTAATTGACCATAATGACATAGGTTATTTTCTGGGCTCTGTAATCCATTCCAATGATCTATGCATCAGTTCTTATGCCAGTACCAGATTGTTTTCATTATAGTGGCTTTGTAATATAGTTTCATATCAGGTATTGTGATCCCTCCTACTTTGTTCTTCTTTCTCAAAATTGCTGAGGCTATTTGGGGTCATTTATAGTTCCATGTAAATTTTTGAAATGTTTGTCCTATATGTGTAAAATATGTCATTGGTATTTTGATAGGGATTGCATTGAATCTACAGGTTGATTAGGGTAGTATGGGCATTTTAATAATGTTAATTCTTCTAATCTATGTGGACAAGGTTTTAACCAGACTCATCAAGAAAAGAAGAGACAGGACTCAAATAAACAAAATCAAAAACAAAGAGGAGAAATTACAACCAATA